AGATCTTGGGAGTTCAAGGGTTCATAAATGATTAATTAAAAAAGTACAAAATTTTTGCTGTACATGGTAACTCTGTATGTTTTGTATCTAATATGTTTTTTGAATTATGTGGTTATTCTGGAAGCCTTAATTAAAACAAAGCTTATCAACCCTTGATATTTATCTGTTCATAAACAATATATTATATACAGTGTTAAACAAACAGTGATAAGAACAAAATGTAACTTCAACAAAAGAACGTGTTATTTTGATACGAATCAACACTAAATTACCTTGTCGCTAATTTGAAGAGTTTCTGGATACTTTCCAGTGAAGGTACACACAACCCACTGGTGAGCTTTGGGATACCTCTGCAGAGCTTGATGGTTCGGAAGGCAGTGTGGCCGAGTGGTCAGCGTATCGGAGTCACAATTCACAGCTCTCGGGTTCGAGTCCCACCCTGACCACTACCTAAATTTGTTTCACGGTAGCTCCGAGTTCAAATCCTCGACCATGCTTGTAAATAGCCAATTGGTTTGCCTTCAGCCAGTTGGGATTCTTAATAATTATGTTATGTTCAATTTGAATTATTTGTTTCAGTTGTTTGCATGGACCACAATCATGAGAACTACTGGTTCTACCAGTAATTGTGTGATCCAGTAAAGTCATTATTATTATTATTATTATTATTATTATTATTATTATTAATGCTGTAAGTTATATGAGTTTGACACCATGATTAACCCTAGCCTTTGACCTCAAGAGTGACCAATTTTTCCTTTGTTATGATATTGCCCCTGAAGCAAACATTAAGGTAATACGAATAGTGGAAATGATGACTAACAAAGGAGCTCTTGATTGTTAAACAAATTCTCCTTGTCAGCACCTTAGGAAATGTTAAGGGAGAACAATATGGAGGACACGTATACTGGTGTTAGTCAGTAAAGGGTTAATAGAAGCCTTCCCAAACAATAATGATCATAATAGTACTGAAATCTAATTGCCTTGAAGTTTGATATGACTTGCTTTACTTTTCTCAGGATCTTGCAATTTATGCAGTATCAGTTGCCACAACGTTAGAGCAAGCTGTTGGAGCCAGCCATCAAATATCTTATTATTCCTTCCTCTGGGGTTTTATTATGTTCATTGGACCATTTTGTTTCTTCAATTTCCAAAAAACTATATATCTTCAATTGTTCACAATGGTAATGAGGAACTCTGCCATGGTGTTAATGATTGTTTTGACACTACTGGACATTGCAAATGGACACAGAGTACCAACAGACCAGCTGATATTATGGGATACAGATAAAGCTAAGGAGGTACTAATTTTTTTATTACTCATCTTTGTTTGCTGTGTATCATGTTCTATATGAATGATGATGATGATGGAATAAGTTTTAAAAAAATAACCCTGTCTCATATTCTCAAACTTTTAACCTTTAACTCTTTCACTCCTGTGATCTCAATTTAGTAATTCTCCTTATTGTCTGCCATACAATTCTTATAATGTTAGTGTAGAGAATTTGGTATTGGATCAACTAATAATCCCCTTATTGACATTTTTTTTATTCTCATCACTTGTCTGCTTGATGTTGTATTGATATTGTAAGGAGAAATTCTCTTTTGGTCACTCATAGGAGTTAAAGGATTAATTAATTCTTTTTTTCTTGTGGNAAGAATAGCTTAATCTGTGCCTCCTTCCATTGTGATTGGAAACTATCTCGTGTTACTCCTGTGTTCAAGAAAGGCAAACCAAACGATGTGAAACAACTACAGACTGATATCTCTGCTTGGCATTCCTGGGAAAATTCTCGAGGCTGTGGTGTGCAATTCCATAAATGATCGTTTGCAGTCCCACAATTTATTAAGTCGCAACCAGTGGGGCTTCAGAAAAATCGCTCAACTGAGGGTCTCTTGCTTCATATGACAGAAACTTGAAAGTCAGCTCTGGATCAAGGTTTGGTAGTGGGTGTACTATTTGTTGACTTCTGCAAGGCTTTTGACTCAGTTAACCATTCAATCCTGTTGGAGAAACTGAAAGCCACTGGAATATCGGGGTATCTGTTTTCTTGGCTAGCCAATTATTTGTCTAACCGAAATCAGTTTGTCCAGATATCTGGAAAGAAATCTGCCCTACAACCTGTGAAGTATGGAGTGCCCCAAGGATCCATCCTGGGGGCTAGATTATTCTCAATATATGTTAATGACTTGCCTGAATTCATATCTTATGGAGACCTCTATATGTTTGATGATGACACCACAGTTTATACCATTGGTAGGGATACAGACATGATCTTCTCTTCACTTCAATGTATTCTATGATCCCAGCTACAAGTATGGTGCACAGTCAACAGACTACTTGCACATGAATCAAAGACTGAAGCAGTGATAATATCTAGATCCACCTTTATAGGCCCTCTGCCAGCTTTAAGATATGGCACCAAGACCATCGAGCTCAAGTCTTCATCTAAGTGTCTTGGCTTAACTATAGACAATAAGTTATCTTGGCAGGATCATATTAGGAATGTTTGTATTTTATTTAACAAGAAATTGGCTGTTTGGAAGCAAATCAAATTCCTGCCTCAATCCATCTTGGAATCTATTTATTTCAATTCAATTATTCCTAGTGTTGTATATAATATTGTTGCTTGGGGCTCTGCTTCCCCATCAGTTATGGAGGATATTGAACATATTCATACGAGAGCAATTAGGATTGTTTCCAAGCTACCTATGACCACTCCAGCTGATAAGGTCAAGAAATTGAGGCAATGGAATCCCATTTCTTTGTATTATGTTAAAAGACTGCTGGTTCTGACCTATCAATCCTATCATAGCTTAAATACAGATGATCTAAATATTTTAATTTCTAAGGCAAAAATTATTAGAAGTGCCAAGACCAAGATCTGAAATTGGCAGGTCTTCTTTGAAACATAGGGCCTCCTTTGCATGGAGTCTTCTCCCCCATCATATCAAGAAATGTGCTAACTTAAGATTGTTTAAGATTAAGCTTATGGCTATCAAGTATATTCTCAATAGCATAAATTTTGCCAAAGGTTCCTGCTGTGTTTCAAAGAAACACGATCACTTTCTCTATTTTTAATTGTAAATTTAATATTGTTTTGTATTTAACTTATCTAATTAGAATTGTATTTAAGAAGTAATTTCACTCAGTTTTTCCGATTTTTATTATATATTTTATTGTGATTGTATTTAATTTGTAGTTAGGCAAGTCCACATCAGGACTTCGGTCTTGCCAATCCTTCTAACCTGCATTGTTAAATAAAGATATATGTATGTATGTATGTAAGTGGCTGTGTTTTCACTAGGCCGATTAACTAGCTGAACATTCTTTCTAGGTGTTTGTTTACAGACCGACATTTACTAGTTAAACTTGACAGTCTGTTTTCGCTGTAGAAATTTAAGCCGTTGCTCAGAAGCTCAAATTACAAAAGCGCGCAACTTTGAAAAAATGGCGGGAGACGAAGCACAAA